CCTCATCGTTATTCTAATTCAAAATGTGTTGAGAATCTCGGATTGGCCCGATCATTTGGTACTGACGCATAAAAATGGCTGATTAGTATTGAAATAAATATTAGGATAGTCAAAGAATCCGATTACGTAGACATTGTAGATATTTTGTAGTATCAATCAATATCTATAAATGTTCAAGTTCTTTCTTTTGCGCTTGTATAAGTTTACTTGTATTAATTATCGTGTTTATTCATTATAAAATGCACTAGATATATAAGTCCTTTTCACAAACTTCGTCTAAAAATATGTATATATACGAGAAAAAATGTGTTTGTATTATCAATTTTGTGTGTTTGTATTATCATTTTTAAGATGCTAGTTTTCTTTTAAAACATATTTTGATATTCTAGATAAATTTGGCTGTTGAAAAAAAAAGAGATTAATCTGGAAATGATGATTAATTTAGAGGTGAAGTGGTGATGACTACTAACGATACAAACTATGATTTTGTGACGTTGTCTCTCCATGGTCAGAAATAAACTATGAATATCTTAGCATTTATAAAGAAGTCAAAGAAAACTCATTTGTTTATCTCGAAAAAAACTAACCAAATCATGCAGAGACAAATCCATCTAATGATCAAAGCAACAAAACAAGACTGATCGATTAAGAATAAGGGACCATGTCCTCTTATACCCTTACAGAATAGATGCTATTCTTCATTATCTTTATTGAATCTAAATATACTTGGATTAAAAAATTACAGATAAAAAATAAAATAAATTCGTGTGGAATCCACCTAGCGAGTTTCTCCCCTCTTCCAATCCGATCCAGCGTCCTCGAGCTCGTTCCTCTTCTTCTCGAATCCACCATTAACATCCGACCAACTTTGAAAAATTGGATTGAGATAATTTCTTGTTATATTTCTTATAATTCTTAAGTTTAATTAGTTTGAAACTCATAAATTGTGTAGCGAAGAAGATCTTGTACAATGTGCAACCATAATTTTGCAAATCAATTAAATTAAGCATTTTGTAGATTTCAATATATTTTTTTGAATGCTCATTCTAATCATTCTCGTTTGTTCTTGTAGTCGATCTGGG